GATCTACAAAGAACAACGAAGATATAGTTCTTGAACTAACAGACGACATCGCTCACCGTTTACCCGCAAACATTTTGGAATCACTTCATTATGATACTGGAGAACAACGTGARKSTTCCACGACCCCAAACCAAGTGAAAAAGAAGGCCGATTATAGTCGTTTACGAGAAATAAGTAGTCAGTCACCAATATTAGTSACACTTGAGCAGGAAATCCAGCGATACGACCATCTCTTGAACGTCATCCATTTTTCATTAAGCCAGCTGCGACTAGCTTTACAAGGCCAAATAATCATGACTGATAATCTTGAAAATGCCTTTAATTCGTTACTCAGTAATAAGGTTCCTGCCCAATGGAAGGTGAGTGCCACAACAACAACGACGACAACAACAACAATAAAAACAGCAGCATCAGCAACAACGTCGACAACAGCAGCAACAACAACAACAACACGAACAACAACAACAACAACAACACGAACAACTACAACAACACCAAAAGCAATAATAACTACTTAAAAAAAGAAAATCAAATAATAAACGATAAGTTGAAACGAATTGAAAACACAGGAAACATACAATAAGGCAGCAAAAAAACACTGCTACAAAATAAAAACACAAGTAAAACAACAAAAAGTAGCGCTTGTTAACACAATTTGGTGTTTCTATCTACAGCGAGCTGCATATGAGTCTTGTAAGCCGTTAGGGGCCTGGGTAAGCGATCTTTTAAGGCGGACCGAATTCTTTGCGCGGTGGTTGGAAATGATTAATTCACTAAAAGACTGGAAGAACGTTGATCTTGCTCGCGTTCATCCACGTGCTTATTGGTTGTCAGCGTTCATATTCCCACAAGGTAATGTTGATATAGTAATACATGCTATAATTTCTTTTGGTTGTCAGTAAGTTCTGTAATTTCAGTAACAACTATTTTAATGTTATACTAAAGCTAAGTTAAGTCTATTTTTTGTGCTCCAGGATTTCTGACCGCTGTTTTACAGTGCCATGCGCGCATGCGCAACCTTCCTGTTGATTCGATGGCGTTTGAATACCAAGTGCGCAAGGAATGCTGGACCACAGAGGAYTCTGTCTTCAGCGATGGTGATATTGATTTTAGAAGGATGGCTTTTCAGGTATGACGCCCTGTCTTGGTTTTTACCTCAGTGTCAAAYGTCGTTGTTTCAAGATTCACTTGTTCAGAGTTCCAACCAATCCATTAATTATCAATTCTGCGTCTGTTTTTAACTTTTAGGGAACAAACCCAGATGACGGCGTTATCATATTTGGACTTTACCTCGATGGTGCAACATGGGATTCCATAGCAGGGGTATGCGAGTCTCTGATTGGTCAACAACGATACCCTTTACCAGACCTACAATTCATTCCGTATCAGGTCAGTATTACACAAATGTGTTTTGTTGCGTTTTTAATTTCTTGAGGAACGAGCGCTTTCACAAAAACACGGGACTCTAGGCAAGACCCTATATAAAGTTATTGGTTATGTTTAAAAATATAAATACATGTCGTAATATAAGCAAAAGATTACTCTTTATTATTCCTTAATGGTCTATGAATGGAGATATTGTAAGATTCAAACTTATAACCGAAGGATGGAAACGGATTGCGAATGGATATTTGAAGTCACCTTATTTTCCATACATCATGTACATGAAKAATCTAYACACGCAAGGCCTTGAATGCCGCTTGACCGGGGCTGTGCAAGTAACGTTATGACATTGCATCGTTACGTATATCTAGTCCAACATAAATACTGAAATTGAAGCTAAATTTACTTTGATCTGAGACGATATAACGATATTCATAAGATTATTTTACTCGACTTGATCATGATTTTCGAAGCATACCTTTATGTATTTTTCAATACTTTATATAATTACAATTTATTGTTAATTTATTGCCCTTCAAATATCAGAACATCGAGAAAGACGAAAAAGACAACAAAGACGAAGACAAAACTTTGGAAATCTACGAATGCCCTGTCTACAGAACGTCAGTTCGCGCTAGTTCCCTCACAACCACAGGCCACCCAACGAACTTTATAACATCGGTAGAACTTCCGTCGCTAAAGCCCGCGAACCACTGGATAACGCGTGGTGTAGCGCTCCTGTGTCAGCTGGACGAGTAAAAACCTCTTAATTGATGTTGGCGTTTGCAATTAACTTTAGTCATTGGATACAGGCTTAAAGATGTCGTGTGAAGAGAAACCAGTCTCTGGAGTGATTGCTTTTCAAATTTCAAGCAAAGATAGGTTTTTATTAATTAATGAAGCTTATTTATTTGTATAAGAGTGTATTTTAGGAAAACTCAAATGAATTTTTGATGTAAATTTTTACACCTTTTTGTACATTTTTTTAGAAAATTAAAATCGTTTATATCGAGTTTTGTTTAACTCGGTTTGGTCGTTTTAGTCTCGGTTGACACCTACGAAGTTTTTGTTGTATTTGGCCTTACGCGGTTTGGTAATTCTATRAAAAGCGGCTCCGAAAGGATTTTAATGTAGAATGAAGGCTTAAAAAATCGATACTTTGTTAATGAACAAGGCATTTCCGATGTGAATGATTGTTTATTCATACGTTCATTACGCTCAGCCAACAATTTTACCATGAAAATCAAACTAATTTCTCGGCAAATCTTCAGCAAAGTGAAGAAATTATATCCAAATMGTTTAATTGGGCTTTTGGTTCTCCAGTTTTCTAAGAAAWATGATTTTTACGGGGTTTTTGTTCAACACGGATTACGATATAAATATGAACAAGTTTGGCCGAGTAATGGGAATTTTACCAGGTGGCGAAATCGTGTTTTGTAATCGCTAAACTACAACAATTTATCAGTTGCCTCTTTCCGAGGAAGTCATTTGGCGTTGCTTTCAGTTTGCGCCTACGTGAACCTCTTGCTACTCGCTAACCGAACACATTAAATCGTCATTAACTTGCCTCGAGAGAAATATGAGAGAGCGTCGAGGGCTCTAAGGCGAAGGTATACATCTATCTTGGCAGGAAATTAACCTAATAGCAGGCTCACTTGTTTGGCTTTTGTCTTAGACTCATTAAATTCGAATTCGCTTTTGTCCCCTTAAACATCTGCTTTCTTACTTCAGCTCATAGCTTGAAAGGGAATCTCGAAAACTTGTTGTGTATTTGAATACATACATTTTGTTTGGATTAGTAAAACGGTTTTACACTGACAAACATCYTCTGAGGTTGTTAGCCGAAGGACTTCAAGCTCATCTTGTGGAAACAAACTTTCTTTATTGAGGTGAGTAAATTTTATTAGAATCTAATTTGARGGTATTTATTTAACTTGTATTTAAACTTGTATTTCAAATGGTTCAATATATATGTGAGAGAATGTATATTTTACTCGTGTGAAGTCTGAAAAAATAGAAAACATTTTGGCATTATCTTAAATGTGTACAATAGTGACTTTAGTAAACAACTTAATATCGTTAGGTGCTATAAAAGGTAAACTTAACTAAGATTTAAACAGTTTTGTGTTTGGCAAACAACAATTGTATAGGATGTGCGAGAAATGGATCAGAAATTGACTCATTTTAGGCATGTAATCAAATAAAAGGATTTGATTTTACAATTTGGCGCCTAACTCGACTAGATGTTGATTAAGTGAAGGCATGGATTTCTTTTCTAGAATCAAAAATGTACAAAYTGGAAAGAAATTTTCAATTTTTTAATGAAACTCTTTCAGTAACAACTACCTGTGTATCTGACCGAGTAGTGAGAAGGTATTTTTTTCAAGTGATTTTTCACAAGCGATATCTCATAAAGATCTAAGACTAAATGTCAAATATCATTCAAAATTCTTTTTCATGTGTAAATTCGATCGGTGAAAGCTRGGTCGTTTTGCTATAAACATTTTAGAAATTACTCGCTCGGTAATCCATTCGTCGGATTGTTGGTTTTTCGCTTTGTAAGGAACTAGTCATTATCTACAGTTTGAGGTGATACTATAACTTTATAATCGCGATGTAAGTGATTATCTAGTGAAATGATATTTTGCTTAACATGTGTCCGACAACCAAGAGGASTATATGCAAAGTGATTGTCCACCGCTATTAGCTTTGTGTGTGAAGTACTTAAAGTAATCTAAGATCAGCATATGGCTCTGTCTCCCAAATTCTCACTCATTATTCTAACAGTACAGAAAGATTGAATGACAATTTCTAACTTCAGGCTTTAAGTATTTTAACTATATTCTCAAGTGTGTGAGTTTAAATTGAGAAAAGTCATTTGTGAGAGAATTTTCAAAGCCCAAAAAGAAACTCCGGTTTTACCATGTTAAGTTTACAACCCGGGAAAGTCATATTTTCGACGCGAAATACATCAGTTTAAAAGCCTTCGATATTTAGTAGAACAACCTTTACATATCAACTGATATTGTTGTAATCTGTAATTTCAAAGTCATGTTTTAATAAACAAATCGAAGTCAATGCGATAACATATTTCCGTGAGTTCTTGCACAGTCGCACAGCGGGAGAGACTGAATCTTTTCAATTTTTTTCTTTCACATCACAGAGAGCTGCCTAGATATATATTACCAGTCTGTCACYCCCAAACTTTTTAATATAAGAAGTCGAACATGAGGACGTGCATTCAATAAAGGAACCTTTTCACTTTCAGATATTCTGCCATCATGGAGAAGGCATATCGACATTCTAACCGAGTATGTTCAGTATGTGGCGATCGCTCGTCTGGTTTTCACTATGGAGTTCAAAGCTGCGAAGGCTGTAAAAGTTTTTTCAAAAGAACAGTTCAAAAYCAGCTTCAATATGCTTGCGTCGAGAATAAGTCTTGTCAGATTGACAAGAATAACCGTATTCGCTGTCAGTATTGCCGTTTCCAGAAGTGTTTAGCGCTTGGGATGCTCAAGGAGGGTAGGTGAAAAGCTGTTGAGACTATTTCATTTTTAAGCAGTCGCAAATTTTAAAAACGTCAAAGCATACATAGCAAAAGGCACTGGGCGAGTACATTTTTTATTTGCTCTTAGARGTATGTAGAAATAACACATTTTTCTGTATTGCCAAGAAGTCAAAGTATTCTTCCTCCTTATATAGATTTCTACTTCAGCACGCGCGCACGTCCTTTCTCTATAATGGCGCGAAACACTTAAAAATGGCTTCCGCAAAAGATGACAYATCCTAATGTGCTAGAAAATACTAGGAAGCGAGAAGAAATAATGGCAATCGGATTTCGATYGTTAGAAAAACATTTGTTTTCTTTCTTTACGTTTTAATTCTGTTATATTTTGAGAAAAAAACGTTTGAATTTAAAAAATGTCAGCAAAGAAATGAAGTTACGTTTTAAAATTGTTCACTATAGCCCTACACTATCAGACCAGTTTAAGAGATATCTTGAAAATTTAAGATGGACAATTGCAAAATATCGGTACTGCTCTAAAAGAGATTTATTTTAAAATGCTTTGCTATTTGGCGGGTAAAGTTCAAACGAGATATTATTTCTGTACTTCTAGCCGTGAGAGAAGACCGCGCTCCTGGWGGACGACCAAGAATCAAGTCTCTCATTAGTTTGAAAGAAAACGCCGACACTTTTGTATCATCTGAACTTATTATTCAGCTCATACAAGCAAGACCTGATGCTCTTCCAAAGCGAAGGTTGGTAAACTACGCGCGAGCCTGAAATGAACACCTCAAAGTCGATGGTGCAATCCAAGTGGCTCCGTTTTAAACAATTTTCTCAACGTTGTTCGCAACAATGTTTATCGGCATTACAAACTCCTACAGTGTGTTGCGAATAGTTGACATGAGTTGCACGCTCAAAGAATGAAAATCATGCGAAACATTCCCTATTTCACAATTTTCGCGACTCCAAATTACTAAGAAATTGACGTGTACCGTAGCCTTTATAACAAAACTTGCAATCTGTTTGCATCTATTTCAGAAAATGTTAATATTTAATATTTTGATGCTCCAAAATTCCACGTTCGTTGAGTTACGACGATTAAAAGATATTTCCCACGTTTCCATTRCCTGCAAGAAACGCGGGATTGTTGGGAGAACACTCGAGAAAGGTTTTTAAGCACAAGCTGGAAGCGATTGAAGGTCGTGACTGTACGGTTGATATCGTCGACTGCAAAATTACGAATCGAAAACGCCTTCTGAAAAGCGATAAAACGACCATCAATGCATTTTGGTCTTGGAATTCGCTTTACTGGAATTTATATTTTGACTGTGAATACGTCRATCTCATCTAAATAAACAATAACAAATAGCTTTTTATTTATTTCAATATTCAGATCCGAATACCTTGAGATGGGTCTGAATGACTTATGTCCTTTAAACCCTGTGGAAGCCATTATGGAGATGACACTCCAAGAGGTTGACCTCATCATCAAGTGGGCCATGGGAGTACCGGGATTCTGTGATGTWAATAGAGAAGACCAAATCAATCTTCTTACAAACGGTAGGTATAAACCATTGTGACTGCTTATAACTACCTAAAGACTGGGGGCAGGGGGATAATTTTCGGTGGACACATGACGTCATAGTTTCCCAATGTAAGGCTGCGAAGGACCACTGAATTTAGAATTAAACGATAATTCTCTTAAGCATGCGCCATCTTGAAAGGTAGCTATGCCTTTACATAGAGAGCGAGACAACCGTTGAGCGTGCAATGATAGATGCCTGTGAATAATTTTCTGTAGGTGTGAAAGAAGGTTTCTATCATTYCACTCTCAACGGTCTTGCTTCGATGCAAAGGCAAGGCTACCTAATCTCAAGATGGCGCAGGGAACCATGAAGGAGATCGACTATTCACTCTCCAAGTAAAGTCATTAATCAGAATACAAACAAAGTTTTAATTCTACGTTTGAAGAATTTCTTTTTAAACAACATTTTTTAACAGAATTACAGGTTTTATGTTGGAATGCTAGCTAATTTCGAACGATTCATTCAACCAGCCATTCATGTTCGCACGGTCTTCGACGGCCAAAATCTGCATACAAGACATGTTTCTCTTTAATTAGATTTCAGTGTTAGACTCATCGTCGCGTCATATTTTGTTTTCTCCAGGTATCCTTGAATTATTGATTTTACGTATTTGTCAACGTTCAACTCCTCACCAAGGGTCTATCTTGGTAGCGAAAGATGTCCTTGTACGTCCTGAAACAACTTACAATATTCTACTGGAGCAGTGGGCAGCACAGTTATCCTGCTTTGGTTACAAATTACAGAGCTTGCAGCTTGATATGGCTGAATTCGCATGTGTCAATGCAATTATGTTATTTGAACAAGGTAAAAATCGTTGTTCAAGATTGACTGAGCTTTATCTACTTTATGCCCGGCGCTTTATGTTTGACTGCTGCAAAATTCGCAAATTCGKAAATTGGCTATTAATTATAGCAGGAGAATTTTTTTGATGTTGTATTAAAAATTATACCCTACATTGTTTTTCTACAGAACCAAGTTGTGGGCTACATAACAGAGAACTTGTTGAATTCGTTCTTAACCGAACACTTGATGCTCTACGTGACTACATCAAATCTTCATACCCAGAGAAACCAAGTCGTTTCGCTCATATTCTTCTAAAGCTGCCAACACTACGCGATGTCGCTTCAAAGATGGCTACTGAATGTCTGTTTGCCCAGTCTTTAATTCATTTAGCAGTACCACAAATCGTAGCAAGAATGGTCGATGTTGAGCATGCGCAATGATCAGTAAAAACAGTCGAAAATGGCCGTCACCAGAAGGTTACGTAGAGCCGGATACGGATYAATTTCCCTAGTTCTTACATCATTCAGCAGTTTCACAAATCATTGTCAGCGGAAATYTCCTTCTTGAGCATGCGCTATAGCAATATCAATTTGCGACTAATTTTTTGCTCAGTCCTCAAAATCCTTAAATCATACCAGCAGAAAGATCATTGTTAAGCATGCGCAATAGTATAACGACAAAAAGAAAAGAAAAAAAAAAAGAAAAACAGTTGTGGAAAGAAGCGCATGTGGAGTGCAGTGCATCCTGGTGAGGAGTATGAATTTTCTGCAGCACATCATATCGCACATATCTTTTTTTGGAATATTGSATACTTCCTGTTGCCATACACGCAACTCTCAATATTGAAGTACATAGACTAACGAACTGGAAAAACTAAAATTGTATCAATGATAAGTATTCGAACTACACTWAGAATCGCACGAACTTACTTAAAAATCTATTCAAGTAGTTTTTACAGATAAAAGTGTAAGTACTATACGTGATGTTTATCAATAATTCCAGACGTGCTGGTCAATACGTGCCGATTTGTATGTCTATTTCTGCTTTTTTAACKAAATCAATCAATTGTTTAATCAATTCATCTGTCAGTCAATCAACCAATCAAGAATAAATCAACCAATCAAATAAAAATATAGTAATCATACATGAATCATACAAATAAATAATTTTATCATATATTTATCTATGATATACCTATATTTCTCCATTTCGTAAACTTGATATTTTCACTGTTATTTTCACTAGTGAAAATAACATTCGAGGTTTCTCTATATAGTGGAAGTAAGAAAAAAGGTATTTTAAGGCATAATTTGCTTTCATATACAATTATATGATAAATAAAATATTACACGTTCGCTTGCAGATACGAATTTTATCTTCTCGTGTTGAAAATCTCTCACGATACGCTCACTCGGGAGAGATCTTTTCAACACTCGAAGATAAAATCCGCATCTCCGCGCGCCCGTGTAATATCCTCTATACATTAAATGAATAATTGGACGAATAGTAAAAGAAATATAAAATGGATGAATGAACGAGTGAATGCATGATGAGAGTGAATGATAAATAGATGGATAAATAAATAACGAATAATAGATTAAATAAAAAGATATAAAATACATTGAATTAGGTGGATGAATGATTTAATAGGCAGTGTGCAGCGTCGCCATTTTCAAAAGCATGATGGTAGTTGTAGTCCTTGCTATTATTTTATAGATCCTTAAATATCTCCCTAAAAGACGTTTTTACATTTTCTTTGTAGAAACGGTACGACTACTTCTATTTTTGCCTAGAAAAAGCTGCATAGGAAGACTTAGAAAAAGCGAAAACTGCATAGCAGGACTGTTGTATAGCAGACATAAAAARATGCAAGGACTACGACTACCATCATGCTTTGCTGCACAAAATGGCGTCGCGGCACAATTGCTTGTTGATTTTTAATAATTTGATGTTGATATAACGATAGAGAATATAAGTTATGTTAGCCTTCACTACCTTGAAATTGATAAACCTGAATATGTGCCTATCTATTTCATAGGTTCATTAGTTCACAGCGGTAATACCTCATCCGCATTCATTTAACATTATTGTGAGACAATTACGACTATCATTGTTTTTAACGACGAATTCATAGGTTCTCGATTACAATGTTGAAAAAGAAGTGCTTCTCACTTCTCACTATATTTGGACTGTAAGAGCGCATCTTTTCCTTCGTTTTGCTTAATGTATTTGCTATAATTTAGTTGAGCAGTTCGACTTTTMTCAGTGATAATTGATTGAGTTTAGAATAAGTGTATGTGCTTTACTTCTATGGGCCGTCCTTAATTGTCGCTTCATTAAAGATATTCACCTCCGGCACTATGATTACAAAGAGTAGTTTGCAGTTTATTTCAAGGCAGGTATTCCACTTTTTAAACTAATAACGACTTTAATTTAATTCAGCGTTCCTGCCAACGGCTATACTGAATAATGAGTTATTGCCGCATAAAATAGATATAAATTCACTGATAAAACCTGTTAAAAACTCTCAATAAAGTACCGGTCCTTTTGCGTGCATCAGGTATTCTCTCGTTGATCGTATGTAAGTTTACGTAGTTCCTGGCCGGAAACGTTGCCTGTATTTAGTGTTTTATATCGCAACAATTACGAAATTCTCTTGTTGGTAATGAATACGAAGTATTGTGGATGTCAACAAATGCGTCATTTAGCTWTCGTCAAACATTTCACTGGCGTGTTTTTCCATCAATTTATAAAACCACAATCTGGAAAAGTTCCGTTTATTTGACGTTTTGAAGTATATAAGAGGTTTTCTTCTCTACCGATACTTGTTATTTTCGCTATGGCAAATAGTTCTCTACACAATTCCACTGCCAGAGCTGGTAGTGACAGCCCTTCTATTTGCTTTATGTCTCCAGTTGGTATTAATCCCTTTGATATCGAAAGCCGTCCAGATTCAGTTAACCCGACTTGGACATTCATTACTGCTGTKAATGCTTTAGCGTCAATTCCAACCACCGTTATCAATGCGTTGATAATATGGGCTGTGRTCTCAAATAAGACTCTCCGATCGTCTAGTTTCAATATCTTGCTAGTTGCTCTAGCAGTTACAGATTTACTCGTGGGACTCTTGGTCGAGCCGTTGTTTTCTCTAGTACTTGGATGCCTTCTAAGCAACTGCTATTCGCCATGTAAATTAACAATATTTTCGTTGTCTTCAATGGTCTGTTGCTGTCTCACTATTTTGACTTTAGTGTTAGTGAGTTTTGAACGATACCTGGCCATAGAATATCCGAACTTCTACCGTGAAAGGGTGACGAGAAAAAGAGTCCTAGCATCAACAGCAATTTTCTGGACATTAGGTCTAACACTTATGTTAACTTTTACTATATTTATGAACAAAAACTATCTTGACCTAACGCCGGTCCCATTCTTGATAATCGGTCCCGTTTGTGCTATGGGATTTCTCTACTGCTCTTGTAAAGTACAGCTCACAGCTCACCGTCAAAGTAGAGCCATTGCAAAACAACTGGCATCCGTTCAACATCCCAACGAACAGAAACAGCTTGAAGACCAGCTGCAAGAATACAAGAAAGTGTTCATGACAACCATGTTATTGATTGTGTCAGTTTTCTTTTACGCTCCTTTTATCGTAGTCTCGGTAATTAAAGCCGTTATGGGTGACGATGTGACGAGCGATTTCAAGTACGTCGCTTTGCCTATCGGTGTAACATTTATGAATCTGCAATCTCTTATCAACCCAATTCTTATGTCACTACGTCTCTCCTACATTCGCAATAATGTTAAAAACAAGATATTTTGCTTTTCATTGGATGAATAKATGTAAGTAAGCTGAGAAACTGAAACCCAAATGACAAACTCGGTTATTTTTTTTTTGGCTTGACCCCATCTTAGTCTTTCACCTGCCATATTTTTATCATTTTAAACTCATYGTAAACTATAGCATACTTATTGCAATATTGTACATATTATTGTGTTTATTTATTTTGTTTACGTATATGTTATATAACGTTCAAGTGTAGAAGCAYTGTTGTTTGACATGACTGTGACTATGATGATCAACTCCGTTTTTCAAACGATACTGCGATTTTTAATGGATCAAGTAAGACTTGATTTCGTACGCACCCACGATGTTGTGAGAGCGCACACGAGGGAAAACTGAGTCTACCCACAGAATCACTTATATTTACACTTATATTATGCGGTTTAACTTTTTGCGATGTCAAAATGAACTGGGACCCATCTTTAGCACTTCTAACACGGGCCATCGATGGCTTACTCCGAGAAAAAAAATCTAAAAATGATGAGACAATGTACAAACCTTTAAATAAAAAAAAAGGAGAACAAACAAACAAAAGGACAACAGTAACAGCAGCAAAATAGCCAAAAACGCCAAAAAAGAATAAAACAGACGAGRGAGAAGATGATTGATTGGTTTTGTTATGTTGGTCTTCCTGTGTCACTGATCACTGAGGCGAAGCTGTACGTGTAACCAAGGTCTAGAAATGGCGGACGAAGAAGCTCAAAGATTATCTGGTAAACAAGTGTCTGGGTGAGTTACTACTACTTCTTTACCAAGACACTGTATTTCAATTATAATTTTTTCAGTCTTTGTACTTTTTGAGGGGGAATTGAATGATCTGTGAATTCATGATCTTGTAATTGTCTGCACGTACCACACGCTAAAGTTCACWTCTGYGCAACTCGATCTGCTCAAATTACTGTCGTGTTTACCTTGGATAGCCAATTCACAAAAAAACGTTTCTCTTTGGGAGAAAGATAACCGAGGGATTCAAGTTTTGCATTTTGAAGGCATGAATTCCTATTTTTTAGAGTTTTTGCTGAGTTAAATTTGCTGCACGTGGCTGCATGCTTACTTAAGCTTATTCTGTTTTTATCTGTGCACATTTTGATATGTCGAGGGACCGAAGAAGTGTATTTGAAGCTGTTGGGACCACTGTTTAGTTTAGACAAATGAGATCTCTTTCTCTGGATGGGAGTTACTCTCTAATAACCTTATAATCTACTTTACAGTGGGTGGAGGGGGAGGTGGGAAGGTTGGTAGGGGGTGGGGAGGGGTTTGTTGAAGTGGMATGGTGTGTTGCCATGTGATTCAAGCAACATATCTCTTGACTAGAACAAAAAAGCATCTTATAAAGGAGTACCAGATTTTTGTGTATTAAAGTTAGAAGAAATGGATCCAAGCTCAGTATAGATCTATAAATCTTGTTTTGAGAAATAACAAATCAGTATAAAATTAGCCAATAATTATAAGAAACAAAGCCTGTATCAGTTACTTTTAGGTATCATTTCATGTTTAAAGACTTTGTGGAGATATTGTTGTCTTAATATAAACAAAATGACACAAACTTTTAACTGAAATCTAAGAAAAGAGCAGTCCACTATTTAGGAGTATTCTGTCAATAACTAAGAAGCTGGGAATTTTTTTCCCTCAGTTACATTCAAATGGTTTTCGAAGACACTTTTCAAGAAGTTACTGGTTTATGAGTAAAGGAATGAGTGACTGGGCAACAGTTATACTTAACCTTGTGTGTGGATTTTGTTTATAGTGAGATCCGTAAACAATTGACGGAAGATGTTGCAAGTGTCAGAGCAGATCATCCAGAGTTCAAACCTGGTCTAGCCATCGTTCAGGTATTTTATGATTGACATTTTAYAGACAAATTTACCAAAGAAGCTCAAAACTAATATTTATTGTATATGACCTATAGTAGTCAGTGATAGTTAGATTTATTATCTTTGTACCATCGTCTGTATTTTGGTCTCTTTCAGTGTGTGTATAATAATATTATTGATATTATTTTAATCTTGGAACTAACTAATAGAATTAATAAAAAATCTATGCAAGTTTCTCTTTCAGAAATCTTCTCTTAATCAAGTGTACATGTGCGCTGTGTGTAGATATAATATTTTCTGATTTTTTTTGTCATTAATATTTATTTGTMGAATTATTCATAGATTGGTGATCGTGAGGATTCTACAGTGTACATCAAGTCAAAATGCAAAGCTGCAGAGGAGGTACTTACATTGTTGAGAGGGTCCCCCGGGGAGGGTCCTTTCTTTGTTATCTGAATGTCTACAAATCACACACATTTATGATTTAGTGACAATTAATACTGTGACCAGTTGACAAGTAAGTTGCACCTCAAAAGGGACCCTAACTGGTAGAGTGACAAACTTAGCATATCCTACTGCATTTAGGAATTGTACAAATGTGCATTTTTTACACTCACTGCTTTGGTGTTCTTCATGAATGTTATCTGTTTTAGATTGGAATGCTGGCAAGGCATGTAAAGTTACCCAGAACATGTACYGAAGAAGATGTAAGTTGTTAGCAACACTGGCTAGTTTTTATTTAAGTGCAGGAAAAGAACCTTATAATATAAGTAACTCAGTATTTCAAATTAGGGACAAGTTAGGGCTGTTTAAACTTTACACTTTGCAAATGCTGGTGACCATTGATAAGACTTTCCTGGAGAAGGACACTAACAGTACCCACTCCATAGTGGACTGGAGGTCTGACTACATCTATATAGATTTAGATTCAAGCAGTCATTTGACCATCACATCTCTCCTGTTGACGAAAAAAATAAATGTGTAATGAGTTTATATGATCCTCATTGTGTTATTAAGAAATATGGATCGCCCCCCAAAAAATAAGTGTGTCACATATACATGTATAACATCCTTTCAAATTGATTTAAAAACAGGTGTTGAAAGCAGTGGACGCATTGAATCAAGACTCTGTGATTCATGGAATTATTGTTCAGTTGCCTCCAGATTCTGACAACCCAGTTGATCCTGCTACTGTTACTAATGCTGTTGTACCAGAGAAAGATGTTGATGGGTTTGTTTCTATTGATTACTGTCATTCCCAAAAATGATCGACTAGTTGAAAAGTTGAAATACATTTAGGGAACAACATAACAACAACAGAAATTTAATTGGAGGCTTAATACTAATTGAATTGAATTGAAACTTTAATATTAAGGATTGTGCATATTGTGTTGTTGTTGCCTTAAGTTTCTTCAGCCAGACAGAATTTTCAAGATAAAATGAATACCACATTGTACATGTACATGTATGAATACACTCATGAAAACAAGAAATATTTCTGTGTTGGCTTAATTAATTCCCTGACATGCATTTACATCTACTGCAAAGTTTTTTCTGTGTCTTCTAAAATCTAAAATTGTTCTTTCTCTTCAGACTTCATGACATAAATGCAGGACGTTTGTCAAGAGGTGAATTGGAGTCCTGTATTGTTCCATGTACACCTAGAGGCTGCTTGGAGCTCATCAAGAGAACTGGTAATTGATTTATTCATTATCTTCATTATCCTCATTATTTTGATTCTTGTCTTTTTTTTTTTTTGAAATTGTAGCAGGCATATTTCACAGTCATTAAATCATTGTGTTGTTTCTCAATAAGTGACACACTGTTTTAAGCAATTAATGTTTATCTGGCAGGAATTGATGTCCAGGGAAAAGAAGCAATTGTGGTTGGCAGGAGCAAGATTGTCGTAAGTGCATCAATTTCAATTTCCTTTTGCCTACATTTTGGTGATTTGTAGATGTTTTTGTATGAGATGTATGTGAGATTTATTGGATTTGTACATCTTTTATAGCATATTTAGCAATTTTTACCAATAATTTATAGTGCTRTACATTTAGCTTTTAATGCCATGGTTTTCAAGCTGTGAAGACAATTCTAAAAATAGTTCCTGCACATTCTTATTATATCATTGAATATTATTTTATCAGGGATCTCCGATGGCTGATCTTCTCAAATGGCACCATGCTACCGTCACCACTTGTCACTCCAGGACTAAAGATCTTCCAGATGTGGTAAAAAAGCAAAATATACCTACACAGATAATATACCTTCTACCTTCATAGACAGATGATTATAATATTCAACCTCTTTTCTTTAAAACGATTCGTGGTTGAAAGAGCTTGGTTGTCTCATATGCATTAAAAAGTTGCRAAAGCTTTTGTAATATTCAATATGGTGTCTTTCTTGACAATGATAAGAAGTTTAAAWTTRTTTGRTGTAGGTCAGGAGAGGTGATATTGTCGTTGCAGGGATTGGAAAGGCCAACTTTGTAAAAGTAAGTACTGGTATAGATCAGGGACCAGTTTTATCAAGGGTGAATCTATCCAAACCCAATATCTATGCACTTGAGAAGCACTTTATTCAACCTTTCTATAACTAGGTCATTTTTTAGAAAATAGTACTAGATA